GGAGGCCTACCCCGCCGGGGGCTCGCCTTGGCCGGGCGGGCCGTGCCGCGAGACACGCCAGTGGGGCGCGAGGTAGACCGTCCCAAAAAAATGCTGTTTTCAAAAAGTGCTCGGGACACATTGCCGCAGTAAACGGACTAACTAGTAGATACTAAAACGATTTTTTTCCGATTTTTTGAGTTGAATTTAGAGGTCGCGCATGAATTTTTAACGTTTTTTAACGCAAAAACTGCGTTTTTGGGGAAATTGGCGAGTTGCAGCTTCCTCTGGACGGTCCCACACTGTTCTGATTCTGCATACTGTTTCCCTCTATACCTCTTTCGCCCCTATCACTTTGCGGGGGTCCGAACCACATGCTTACTTCATTTTTATACCCCAAAAAAGGATTTATAATAACTTCAATTGCGTCTGTGAGGAGTACCTTAACTAGCAACGAACATTACACCAAAACAATAGAGTAATGTTGAATTCTTGCCGTCGGAGTCGGCGCTACGCGCTCTATCGGCCAAACGGCTATTTGTGGGATTTTCACATATTTTACGGCAATTTTTTTTTTACTTTTGGTTTTAAACCTGTGTCATTTAAAATAGATGATTGGAAATAAACTAAACTGTACATTCTAACTGTACTGTTATTGCCCGCAGCAATAATGGTACACTGTTAAAAAATTGTTGAAAATTTAGAACACATTTGATGCAAAGTTTGCTAGCAACAAATGTTAATAAAACACAACATGTTTTAATCCAACAACATTCACAAAATTTTCTGAAACAATTTTTAATTTCAAAACAGTGGTCATTTACGTCTACCAGCACCATAAGTTTGTAATAACACAAACTTGTTGGTTCTGTTACGATATATCTGGCTACTATCAAACATTCCAACGGTTTTGTTGTAGTATTACAACATGGTGAAAAGTAGGGATCGTTGTTATGGACCACTACGGTCAAAATAGAAGGAACTTTGTCACATGCCAATGAAAACGAATGGTAGTGTTTTTTTAACAAGCTAGTCATCACAGAGACTATGATAATTTGACAACTTTTTTTAACTGTGTATGGCTCTGAACCACCGTTTCGGACTTTACTTTCTTCTCTTGGGGTATAATTTTACAGGGGTCAAAGTCTGTTTAGACACCCCGCTAGGCAAGAGAGGGATAGAGGGGAAGAGTGTGCGCCATCAGAATGATGAGGGAGCGTCCAGGGGAGGCTAGAACTCGCTAATTCGGGCAAAATCGCAGTTTTTGTGTTAAAAAACGTTAAAAATTCATGCGCGACCTCTAAATTCAACTCAAAAAATCGGAAAAAAATCGTTTTAGTATCTACTAGTCAGTCCGTTTACTGCGGCAATGTGTCCCGAGAACTTTTTGAAAACAGCATTTTTTTGGGA